TAGTTTTTTAAAATTTTAATTTTTTAAGAAGTTAATAGATTTTAAAGATCATCTATTATATCGGAGAGTTAAGACTTTCTGCACCATAACTGTCTCAGTTTTGTTCAATAAGTTAATATCTTTTGGTATTGTGAATATCGATATCAGGTAAATTTTTTGATTTAATACTTTGAAATATCAAAGAATACAACTTATTTAAACATACTCATAAAGGATTTTATAAACTAAAATTATAAATATTTTCTGAATATAATTTATTGCAAAAATTTTTAATTTTCAGAAAATACTACTAATGAAACTAATTAGTTTTTAATAATATCAAAATGAGTAAAATGAATTGCATTAACTATAATTTCTTCAGAGTCTGTATATTTCACAAAAAAATTACAACAAAAATTTTTACTAACTATTCCTAATTTATCATGAGAAGTATTTCAATTTTTATTATCATAAGCTTTTTTATACCATAGAATTGATTCAAAATAATACTTTTAAACTATTTTTTGTATTGTAAATAGATTTATTTACAACAAAATCAAGTGTCTACATGTAAATACAAAATTAATTATTTAAATTAGTAAGTTGTAAATTTTATTAAAAAAGATTTTTTTTGTTTTTGGTTAGGCCGCACAAATTTAATATCTTGGTTTTCATAACATAAAACTTTTAAACAGACCCAGCCGGCCGGCTTTTTGTTTTAAATTTCAAATATAAAAATTTTATAAAATTTTTTTAAAGTTTTTTTAAAAAGCCTACCCAGTTATTAAAATATATAAAAAATTTTTTTACAAGATTTCAAATTTTGATCCAGCCAGGTTATAAAAACCAATTAATTAATTTTGCATGGCCTTATAATGATCAAATTTTTTAGATTCTATACAATCTTTGTTTTCTTTTAGCACATTATATCCAAAAATTAATTGTTTATTGATACTATATCAAAAAATTAATCATTTATTAGTATTATATCAGAAAATAAATTGTTCATTAGTTGCAACTTTTCAGAGAATAATTCTTTGATCTGTAAATATATATTTATTTAAAATCTGTAAATTTGCTATTTGTTTTTTATATAATCTGTTCAATAAAAATGATTTGTTAACTGTTCAATTTATTTATTTTTAGATTTGCTAAACATTGATTTATATTGATTTTATTTGCATAACACCAAATTAAAGAAATAAAAATTGATTTGATTAAAAATAAGATTAGAATTTAAGATTTAGATTAAGGTAGTGATAGGAATCAACTAAAATTTTTTAGTCAACTAGTCAGTCAACTAATTTTGTAATTAGTTGGCTAATTGTATAATATAAATATATATATATATATTAAATAATAATAAAAATCAATTATAGTTTTGAGTCAACCAATTCAAATCAGAAAGTTAATCGACTAAGTGGTGTAAATAAATTGAGGTAATTAGTTATGACACATTGTAGTAATATTGCAACTTTTTTGTAGTATTAATATAAGTTGTAGCTATAGTAGTATAATATTATATTATAATATGGACCGTAACTCTGATTTATTATATAGATAGCCTTTATAGATGGGTATATAGTAAATTAGTATAGTACAGTAGTATAAGTTAGTACGTGCAGCTATTAAAAAAACAAAAAATTATACTTAGATATACAATTACATATTTGATACATGATCGATATTTCAATTCAAATATTTGACTTAAATATTTGAAGATGTAATCAATTATTGATGTGATGAATTAGAATTAATTAAAATACGTATATAATTAATTCTATTACACAATAATTAATCATGCCCTCAAACTTGATTTCATATATTTTTCAGCAATATCTTTCTTTATAGTAGCAATTCAACTTTTTTATTCGATTGTTGCAAAAAAATATAGATAATATATTCTATATCGAAGAATTTTAATTTGGTCGAAGAATCTTAATTTAATTAAGTAAACTCTGAATTCAAATATATAAATTTTTTAAAATAACAATATGAGCTTGTTTTCATAATAATAAAATTAATTACTAGGAAACAGGAACTATTGAAGTCTAGAGCCTAGATTTTTAAACTTTGAATTTCAAAATACTATTTTATGAGTTACTTATCTTTATCATTTAATTTATGTATATTTTCTTTATAATTCAAGCCAACTTACAAATAAATTTGCCAGATTTGGACCAACCGCAAGAGACCTATAAAAAGATATAGTTTAATAAATTAATAATTCAAAATGGCACAATTATGCAATAAAATCATTAAATAACATAGTCCTGATTATTAGAATTAGTTCGATCAAATAGTTATTATAATTACCATATAAATCTGAAATAATACACAGGGGCATTATTATGGATTTTGGTTAGAATTAACCTTAATTCTGGCTAAAATCCATAATAATGCCCTGGGTATTATTTCAGATTTATACAGTATGAAAAAAGGTTTGAATATCTTGCACACCTTCTTTGTATTTACAGTTATGAATTTGAATTTTATTTTTTTTTAATAACAATTTTTCAGGTATTATTATATAAAAATTTTTTAATTTACACCAGGTGTATATACACACATACTAATTTATTGATTTATGAATTTGTGTAATATATAAATTATAAATAAAAAATCAGTATAGCTTAAGGTTAGGGTAAGGGTAGCTTTAGGGTTATAGTTTATACTAAAATTTCGCAAATATTTTTTGTTAGAATCCCAAAAGCTATTATTTAATCAGAATTTTGAGATATCAAATATATGTATGTGCATATACCTGGTGTACAAATAGCAATCGTCTTATTATATATAATAATATTAAGGATTTTGTATTCGGATATAAATTATTTTTATATAGTTTAATAATTTAAATAATTATTATTAATATTTACCATTACAAAAACAATTCTATTTTTAAAAAGAGTTTTGATACATTATTTTAATTAAGACTATTTATGTAAAACTTTCTGTTTGTATAAATAAACCTGCATAGCGAATATGAATTTAATTCTCATATTTATGAATAATACAAAATACCCCAGGTAAATTAAATATCTATAGTTTTTACAGAGGCACCTGTGACAGAGGTCTGGACAGTAAGTCCTCCACTTCGTTTTGAACAAAAAATATATGCTATAATTATTGAGTAATTCGATGGATTTTGCGCCTTAGCAGCATTTTTTTTTTAATTCGATATCTAAAAATAAATCATTTTAAATCATTTTTACTGTTATTTTTTTAATGTTGATGTGGATTCAATTTCTTTACATCAATTGTATTTTAAAAACTAGTTTTACTACATAATCTTTTATTATCATTGTTGATAATGGAAATTTGTTTCGTGTATATTAGCATTAATGAATTTACATTCTATTGTTAAATAAAATTAATATACAAGTTTGGGTTAGTGAATTTTTTTTACTTGGAACTTATTTTAAGCAAATCAAAAATGTGTACCAGGTTGTGCTCCAGACGATCATATAGTTGCCCAGAAATCAAACCAAATGATCTAACAATCATTAATAATATCATCGATTAATTAAATAAACTATCGCTATACTATACTAATAGTAATTATCATTATTTTAAAGGCTAATTTGTTTCTTTATTAATTCATTTCATATTTCGGTTCATATTTCGCTTCGTAAATTTTGCTTCATATTTCGCTTCATATTTTGCTTCATATTTCGCTTCGTATTATATTTCGCTTCACTTCATATTTTGCTTCATATTTTGCTTCACTTCGTATTTTGCTTCATATTTCACTTCACTTTGTATTTTGCTTCATATTTCGCTTTACTTCATATTTTGCTTCATATTTTGCTTCATATTTTACTTCATATTGTGCTTCATATTTTGCTTCATATTTTACTTCATATTTCACTTCATATTTTGCTTCATATTTTACTTCATATTTCACTTCATATTTTATTTCATATTTTACTTCATATTTTACTTCATATTTCGCTTCATATTTCGCTTCATATTCCACTTCACACTTCACATCACATTTCATATAAATAAAGAAAAAAAGATAGAATTAAATAATAATAAAAATACAACATGATTCGTTCAACTTTGCTGATTACCTACTCCACTCCAAAAAATTTTTCCACTCAATAATATGAATATTGACAGCTTAATGTAGTTTTATATGTAGATCTTAACGGTAACGAAGGTTCTTAATTCGGTTAGAAAATATCAAAGATCAATATACAGCTAACCAAAACCTTTATTGTCAAAGAAAATCAAGTAATAAAGTTATTTTTTGAGAAAAAAAGATACTGTATATAGACAACTATTTGCTGGTATTAAAAATTTTAAGAATATGAAAAAGCTGAATCTGTATCATTAGGCAAACTGGCATCTTACCTTTATTAACGGAATTCTTCTATAAAGGCTAAATCATTATGATGTAAAGCAAAAATTCAATTACAACCTGCATCAGTACAACGAAGGAAGCATAAGTTTTCTCAAGAAAATGTCGACCAGACCATAATAGAAACACGTATACAAAAAAAAACTTTCGAAAAAAATGTATAATTTATCAAAAAACATTCACGCGAATAAACAAAATTAATAATGTAAAAGTTTTTAATCTTTTATAAATGTATACGTATTATTATGTATTGTAATATTTATGCGAAGTATATAATTAATGAAAATAAATATATGAAACCGTGTGCTAAATCAAACTTCAAAAATTTTTCTGGATATTCATTCTGGACTGTCACATAATCATCCAGAGTGCAACCTGGTACAAATTTTCGAGTTGCTAATTTTAATATGTATGAAATGCTTGTATGTACGACAAATACTAATACTATGATTTGAATTAATATTTATATTTTTATTATATGTTTATTATTAAAAAAAAAAAATTGAGAGAAAATCAGGAATTGAGTTTGTAAATTTATAATTCAACGATGATTTAACGCCATGTTTTGAATTTACTAAAATATTTGTATGTACTAGTTTTATTTTGTTTTAATGTATATACACGCCCATAATACATTGCTGCCGCACCAATTTTTCACAGATGATCCTTGATTTTGATTGGCTAAGAGCGATGATCAAAAATTTAAACCGAAGTTACTAGAGTTGCTGGTGAAACTGGTGAAACTTGGTGAAACTTGATGAAACTGGTGACTATCTAAAATCTGATTGGTTATTGAATGCAATAGCCAATCAGATTTTAGATAGTCACCAGTTTCACCAGTGTGATTTAGTTTCACCTGCAGCTCTAGAAGTTACTCAAAATTTTACTAATGAAACCACAGCTGCACATTAAGTAAAAAATATTCCTGGGCTAATTTTATCATTGTGCGGGCCTATTTCTCTAAAAATTTCCATTTAGGAATGAAAAAGTTAAAAAGTTAATTCCGGCCAAAATTATGTAATGCGGGCCCAATCCGTGAAAATTTGGAACGGTGTTTAAAATACCAGTCTAAAAATTTCGCTGACCAATCAAATTTCAAGATCAGGTGTAACGTTGCACGATCAGGAAAATTCAAAACAAACATCCGTTTTGTCAAAAATCGCTCATAACTCAAAATTTAGTCTATGAAACTGCCTTCTACGCACTAACAAAAAGTTTTCCTTGCGAAATTTTGATATAGCTAAACCCAACTTTTTAGCAAGACCCTAACCTTAATCTAACTGCGAAACATCTTTTCTTAGCGAAATTTTTTATTAGTTTCAAATAAGATCACATGATGAGCGAAAATTTTTAGACTGGTGATACTTGATCCTTAAAAATTTGGTGCGGCAGCCAGTGTTATAAATTCAAAAAATTTTTATTGGCGCAAACACAAAAAAGATATGCACAAAAAAAGAAATTTATACGCGCATTATATATATGAAGAGTGCTGATATATGCGCAAATTTAAATCCATATACGCTGCGCCTACTGCGCGGATCCAATTTACATCACTGGCGGCAGCTACACGCCCGGAGATGATCATTCTGATAACCAATCAAAATAGTGAATTTTTGTTTTCATGATGATGTAATTGATCTACATCATGCATATTGTTTACATTTCGATAATAAATAACCAAAAAAATAGATCAAGTAGACTTTATTGCTGATATAATACAAGAAATACTCGATTGTTGATAATACAAGATATATACTTATTCTTGATATTACAACTAAAAACTTTCGTGCATTAGCGAAAGTTAATCCGATGATTGCTGAAGTACTTAGTGCTTCATTGGTCAAAGGATATCCAAGATTTTCTTGATGGTTGTATATTATCAAATAGGTATATAACTTGTCGCAACTAGTTATTTTTCATGTTATTTTTTGGTAGTTGCATATCAGCAAGAAAGTATATGCTTGTTGTAACTAGTAACTGTTCGTGCATGAGCGACAGTTAATTCGATGATTGCTAAAGGACTTAGTCACTTTATTGAATCAGAGAATTTCCAAGTTATTTCTTGGTAGTTACGTATCAGCAATTTTTTGTTGTATATCCAAGAGTTATTTCTTGGTTGTTATATGTTAGCTAAGTATAATAAGCGAGTTTTATTTATGTTATTGATAATTAATTTAAAACTTATAATCATAATAATAATTTTTATACTATGGTCCAGATATTCTGTAGTTTGTCGTAAAACACGATCAAATGCAAACAATGCAAAGTAAATAAGAGTACGATCTAAAAGAACGAATGAAGACTTAGATTTCTATCCCTTGTCGATTCGGTTACTGGAAAATATAAAAGCAGCTGAAACACTGACTATATGAAATTTAGTGTTAAAAATTCTTTGTGCATATATTTGTGCGGAATTTTTAATACTGATATTAAAAATAATATAAGATCGCCAAAATTACCTTCGCACCAAAATACTTGATTAGCAAGTTTTTTTTTTTTTTTTTGTATTGCGCATTTTTTTTTATTAATTATGTGATTTTTTTTTTTATTTGTATTACACATTTTTTATTGATTATGAACTTTAATAATATAAGCTTAAATCGATCTAAATCGTGAATGTGCAAGAACATAACAAGCCAAATTTATCTAAATCAAGTGAATATGAAATCAGATAGTTCAACAAAAAAGCAAAAAACACGCTGGCCAAGATTACTACTACCATCGCAACCCGTTGTAGTGCAAGTGATGGATAACTTTGTATATTCGCCGGGAAATTAAAAATTAGATTAAAATTTTGCGTTTATAACCGACTTAATTTTGGTTTTGGATAAATGTCGTGAAGAGTTATTTTTTTCAATCATATTTATGATTAATAAATTTAATAAATTGCTTCAATTCAATCTATTTATTTTATGTCATATCATAAAGGCCAACTACATAATAAATTACGTTATAACATAATATACTACTGTAGCTACGACTTACAAAAAAGTTGCAACTTTACCACAATGTGTCGTAACTAATTACAATGTGTCGTAAAGCTATCAGTCGACTGACTAGTTGACTAATAAATTTTAGTCGATTCCTATTCTTAACTTTAATCAAATTAATTTTTTTTCTTAAATCAACATAAACTTTAAAAACAAATGAATTGAACCGTTAGTAAATCATTTTCATTGAACAGATTACGCAAAAAAACGAACAACAAACCTACAGATTTTGAACAAATATACATTTGCAGATTGTTCAATTGATTTTCTGATGTAATACTGTAATACCAACGAACGATTGATCTTCTGATGTAACACCAACGAACAATTGATTTTCTGATGTAGTCATAATGTGCTAGAAGAATCTAAAAATTTTGATCATTATACCAAACACAATTCCTGTAAAATTTACAACTTACTAATTTACGTAATTAGTTGATTTGGTATTTACGCGTAGACACTTTGATTTTATCGATTAAAAAAAAAACAACTAAAGATAAGAATCAGTGTTCTAAATTACGAGCATAGTTGAGTGAATTTCTTAAGAATCTTCCGAAATTATATTCGCAGCAATGTTTCGGTCGAAATTGTTTTTTCACTTCCGAAATATTTAGGGTTTTACAAGCGATCCGAAATTAAAATCCTAAATTCCGAAAATCCGATATTTCCGATAGTCTGACTGGCTAATTTTTATTTTGATATACGCATGAGTATTAGCCAATTAATTCTCATAATGTTCAATTACTTTAATCAGTAAATATAATTCCAGAAGACACGTATAGGGTGGGACGAAAGTGATGTTAACAACACGAACTCGCTAAATCTACTATAAACCCGAATGTGTCCTGAAGACCAAGCCGATTTAATTAGGAGTCTTTTACCATCGAAAATTTATTTCAATTCAAACACCCCCGAAATCCTAATTTTTAAATAAAAAGACTGCTAATTTGTTAGTAGCTATTTTGTCTTGGTGCATGTTAAGATCATCAATCAATCAGACGAATTTTTACTTCCGAGGTTTTCTATTAGTAATTTGAATAACACACAAATCAAAATTAATAAACAGATTCTAATTATGAATAAAAAAAATGAATTACGTAATAAGGTTGTTCTTGTGGGTTGAGATCAGATCATGCATCAATTGCCAATTCAACGTAGCAAACGTAGCAATCGGAAGTCAATTGCAAATCTTTATAGCTCACTAATATCAAATTTTATCAAATTCACAGCCATCAAAAGGTCTTCGTCATGATAAATTTCCACCATGATAATACAAATCCACAAATATCAGCTGGTGTAAAATTTTGATCTAACAACCCACTGGGGCGATGTAAGATATAACCCGTAAATGAAAAAATCGTTCGCGAATTCCACGTACGTACTAATCCAATACAGTACCCCTGACAAATACTATTTGTCAATTTGTTTATTGCAGTTTCGGATATTTCGGATTGAATTCGGATATTGGGCAATGTTACAGCCAAGGGAGAGACTTGTTATCCACTTAGCCAATTTAGCAGAGGGCCGTAATCATTAACAGAAATAAACTGAATGTTTTATTATCACAAACGGCACCGTAAAAGTAACAAACAAATATCCTTATGTTGTGTCCCAGACACACTAATAGTACTAATACACTTATTTACTAACCAACTTAGCAAGTTCCAAACTTACTAAGAGTTCCAAACAAACAACCCGAAAGACAAAAACTCACTAAAAACAAAAAGAAAAATCTAAAAATCTAAAATACATATTGTTCTATATATGTCTATCAATAAACTTTAAAATAAACTATGTACTAGAGGTTGGAATCGAACTTAATTTTTAAATTCGAATTAAATAAAAATGAATTTGAATTGATTCGAATAAATTATATGAATTTATATAAATTCATATAAATATGCATATGTGAGATTATGCAAGATTATGCAAAAATATGCAAAAATATGCAAAAATATGCAAAGTTATGCAGAGTTATGCAGGGTATTTCATGCATAATTCTGCATAATCTTGCATAATCTTGCATAATCTTACATAATCTCACATATTTATGCATATGTATATTTATATGAATTTATGTGAATTTATATTAATTCAAATTTATTTTTAAAGCAAATTGATTCGAATATTCATAAATTGTTAAATTCGATTCCAACCTCTACTATATACTATTTAAAGTCTAATTAAAGTATACTTTATACTTCGTATAAACTATTAAAATATTACACAATAAGTATACGAAAGTATAAGGAAAGTATATATATTACACATCGAAAGTTTAATTGTGAAACTTTGTTGTGTAACATATTCCTCTTGAAGGATGAGCTTCGCTCAAATCCTATTACCACAAAAAGCTTCGATCATATCACATGCTTTTCATTCGTTCGAAATCGTCAAGACCAATTCTTCAATATATTTTTGATATGTCTTTCATTAAATTGTCCACGTTGGTTATTACGTATCACTTGAGATATTATTTCAACATTGTTACCCAGAATTTTCTTGAAATCTTCAAATTTCCAGGCATAAAGTGTTGTGTAGATTGCTATTTCCATGAATATTCGATAGGGTATAGGTTGTATAGGTTGTATCAGTTGTAGGTGCTCCTTTCCCTGCACCTACTTGTCATAGCCGTCCCTACTTCACTATGTCTATTATTTTCCAGTTAAATAATAGTTCTTTTGCCTTAGACATTTCATTTTATTTATATGTCATTTATTCCTAACTTTTCCTTGTACTCAAATCATTTTCTTACTATATAAAAATTATTTGTTTTTATTTTATTTTATTTTTTTTAATATTCTTTTCTAAGCATTCTGTTTAATCACATGATTTTGATTACAGTGAACTTCCCACAAATTGTAAGATTTAATTGTATATTATCAGGTGAGTATTCTAACTCCAGTTTGTATTGTTAAATCATTGTTTATATAGATTGCATTACTAAAGTTTTTTTGTTTTTTTGTTTTTTTTTTCATTCAATTGCTTGTTTCATATTTATCATTTGTTTTTCATTTTTTGCAAAACTTCTACCTGGGTCAAATGTGATCCTGAACAGTACATTGATATTGCCCATTTGTTTTCTGAGTTTATGTTTAACTATAAAATCATAACCCTGCAATATCATGATATATCAGGCCATTCTACCTGTAGGATTCAATATATTATTCAGATAGATCAAAGTACTGTAGTCTGTAATTAATGTGAATTGAGGATCATACAAATAATAATAAAACTTTTTTATAGCCCATAGGATTGTCATATACTCTAATTCAGTAATTGTATAGTTTTCTCAGGAGGTTTTGTTGACTGACTTGCATATTCTACAACATATTCACAACCCTCATCATTCACCTAAACTAGTATAGCACCCAGAGCCACATGTGATGCATCAATATACAAAAGAAATTCTTTATTATACCAAAATCAGAGCCATTGTTAAACATTTCTTTATTCTATAAATGTCTTTTCATGTTTTTCTTTCTATTGATATTCTATATTATTTTTTAACAGTATATATAAGAGTGCAGATAGCTTCAAAAAGTCTTTGAAAACCGATAATAAAATTTAGCAAGTTCAAGAAAACTTCGCAATCCTCATATATTCATTGGTTTTGGAAAATTCTTCATGGCTATTATCTTTAATTCAGATAGGGTAATTCCATCTTCATAAATTTTATAACCCAAATAAGTTATTTTCTTCTGATTGAAGAAATATTTATCTAGGTTCAATTTCAAGTTGGCTTTACGAAGCTTGGACAATATAATTTCCACATGGACCAAATGAGTATCAAAGTCTGAAGAATAAATATTCACATTGTCGATGTATACCAATGCAAATTTTCACAATTCATCTTTAAGAACATGATCTATCAACTTTTGAAATATTGCAGGAGTGTTTATCAAACCAAATAGCATTACTACAAATTTATAAAGACTGTATTTCATTGTAAATACTATCTTTTC